TATATGTTCTACTTAGTCCCTGCTTGCAGTGTTGTGTTCCAGTTTTTACCACAGGGAGGCAGTGGTGGTGCTCTTTGTACACACAACATCTACAGTTTCCACAACAGAGTGCAAATGAGGCCAGAGAAGGAATCAGATCAGATACTAATCTTAGAGTCTGAGTTGCTCTAACTGGACACTCTACCAGCTCTATCTAATGGCAACAAATGCCATGCAAATCTGTGCCAGCTATTAAGGGGACCAGAGGAAAAAACAGATTCCTCACTTAATCAGATAATGTTTGACGTGAGTTCAAACTTTCCTCTAATCAGCAGCTGAAGGTACATGAACAAGTATCAGTGCGGTGCTGGCAGTCTGGCAGCTAGAGTTTGGCCACAGCAGGTCGTGTCCTCAGAGTGAGAGTCGCTATCCTTTATTTAAAGAATTATTGGCCTGCCGTCGGTACTGCAAGGAAAAGTGTGTCACATGTGTAAGTGTTTACAGACATATTTGCAATTAGTTAAAACAGGGGAAGTAAACATTTTTGCACGTGTTGATGATGACATCGATTCAAAATGTGTTGACGTTACCAAAGCATGTTGTTGTCATCCGAGAGGTATCTCTACAGTTTGCTTTAAATTTTCCTTGACTGAGGTTCTTTTTGCAGTTTTTTCGGTGCTTTTGTTTTGTAAAGATCCATGTATCACCTATAATCAATGTCATGATAGCTGAAAAAGCAGTCAGTTCGAAAGCACAAATATTAGCAAAGGTTGCACTAAGCTTCTGGTATAACGATAATAAAAATGCTAACAGCATTTGTGTCTTGATCGAGATGTGAGCTTAAACAAGCACGGAGGTAGATTTTATTTTCGGAAGTGCTCAAGATACTAAATGGTTCAAAAATGACAATAATCGCAGTGTTAACCTGGATCCTCATGTGTGAATGGATTTGTATTTCTTGTTGCCTCCTACTAATTTCATTGACATTTTTTGTATTTTGTACTTTTTCTGTAACAAACAGAAAGTTTAGGAGTGATCACATAATTCCAGTATAAAAGAAACGCTAATGTGAAAATGATTCAACGCCATCCTATGTGTTAAATATCACTAAGGATTATTCTGTTCAGTACTCCTTACAATTGTGTAACCATCGTACTTTTACTTTTTTTCTCCCCACAGCTATCTGTTTTGATACTTAACTACCACTGACTGTCTCTAAATACCCCACAGGTTTCCTGAACTGCAGTTTTGAAGCTCACTGTGCTGCTTCCGGCTTGACTTGACTCCTAATTCCCAGCTCACCCAGCGATGGAGTGGACCTGAACGTAGACTTTAGCTATAAAAACCAAAACCTTGTTTCTAAAAGGCTGTAAACATGATTATTTCTGCTATAAAGTTGGGTGTTTTAGTGTGGGGATGAGTTGTTTTTAGCCTCAAGTGGCCATCTGAGGAACTGTAGTTTTTGGCATTTTGGCTTTATTTTTTATCAATGGAGTTTGCTGCTTGTTTGGCACAACATTATTCCTGCCTTTTCTTGACACATGTAGCAGTTCAGAGTAGCTTCTAGTTCAAGCCTTTATTTTTGTTCTGCGTGTCATTAAGTTAATGCAGTTGTGCACATATTTAGCATAAAAAAGGTTGATGTTTTCTGCTTTCAACAGCTTGCCTCCATTTTTGTCATGTCATTTCTGAGCTGCTTGCTTTTCCCATTTTTTGTGGCATGCTGAAACCAACCATGTTAATTAAGCATCTATTTACATATCTAATCAGACAATAATGTCACAAGTGCATTATATACAAGAGTGTGCTTAAACTTGTCTCCCACAGCAAATCACTTCAGCCCAGGCCATGTGAAGAATTTGAACCTGTGTGCAGAGCTTTTGTCTCCCTCTTCAGGCAGCAATAGTAATTACACCAACTTTGTCGACCCTGCTTGGGTTTTGCTCTTTGAAACTGTTGTCACCTCCCCTTATGCAGCCACGCTCCTTCATCTACATCGCTTTGGTTGCTCCTAACTTCAGCTCTGCTAAGCCAATCATTGCTGGCTTACATAAAACATTGCTACTGGTGCACCAGCATGGGAATGTTGCTACAAAAGCCAGATTTAAAACTCTGATATACTGTGAAATACAGAGAGATTTACCTGGCGCTGATAGTTTTAATCAGCACAGTTTGAACTTCTCTGGAAAGGACCTGAATGTAACAGATGTCCATTTATATGTCAACGTCCCACACTCTATAGCTTTAAAGAACAATTTGACATTTTGGAAACTACATTACTTCTTGGCCGGGACCGGTGCCTTCCTAAAGCCTCCTCTGGTTGTCTGGCAACCTCCAGGCCAAGAAATAACCTGGTCGGTGAGCACAACGTTTTAAATAGGGTCAAGTTTTTTAACTAGCAGATATCACCACAAAGCAGTTGATGACTAATAAGACAAGGATTTTTGTGTTACAATCTTTTTGAAATTCTATGTTAATGCAAATGAATCATTATATTTCTAAAAATGCTCTGATTTACATATATTTTCAGACAGAAATATGAACAATGGGTTTAGTTAGCTTCAAGCTTTTAGTTTCATTTTTGTTGACATGTGAGTCAGCAACAGTCAATGTTTTTTTTACAGAGGGGGTTTTGGAAATCTCTATCACTTAGTAAATCAGTAAATACTTTCCGTAGCCATAACACAAGCGAAAGCAAAAGCAAGATTTTCATGATGTCATTTGGAATAAAATGTTCTGTAGATCAGGCTTTATGGAAATAAGTGCTACGGAAGTGGAGATTCCTGGCTCAGCGTATGAGCAAAATTCTTTTTAAGAAACCAGGCTGTAACGATATGTACTACATTTAAAAGCGACACATGCAAATAGAAAAAGTGTACTAAAAGAAACACCTAAATGTGTATTTTGGATGTCTCCTCTCCACTCATTGTCCTAAAATGTCAGAATTGACAGGCCCATTAAACATTTTATCTATAGCATTTTGCTTTAACCAAACAATATATGATGTCTTTCGTATTTATTTATGTTAAGGGATGCTGGTAGATGGATTTTATTTGTGATTTAAGAAACTCTTCATGCTTCTATTTTATTAGGCAGGTGCGTAGAAGAGGAATACGCATTTCCTACAGTGTCCAAAACACTCCTGCATACTGTTGAACTTGCCAAAACACATATTATGGCTAGGCTGCATGAAAAGACAACACTTGCACATGAGTTTTTGCCTTTTATGCATACTGCCCAAGGAAGCGTTTTTATTCTAACACAGGAACACATACTTGTGAACAGTGGCCGGAAGACATAAAACACACAACACTTCTCACTCACAGCACCGTCAACACTTAACTGTCTCAACCAACTAAACCATAAAAACCACAAAAGCACAATGAGGTACAAACACTAATAACAATGTTAAACCAACATGAACCACAATAACAACTTTTATAACCCCATCACCTCGAACTTCCATGGTGCATTGCGGCACAAAAGTTCAGTCGTAGCAACCGGCTCTGGGGTCGCTACAATATATCTGTGAGGCTTTGGTGTCAGACCTTAATCAGACAAATGGTTTGGCAACGATCATAAATACAGAGTGACTTTAACTCTCTAACCAATCAACATACCCCACATACTATAACGTTACATACAAAACATCAGTTCACTAAGCATAAACATGTTCCAAAAATTATCAAAATTGAATGGGTAAAATCCTAAGTTATGCATGCTAAAAATCCCCTCAGTCCAAAACTGCAATCCCCCAAAAAAACTCAACTTTCTGGTTGCATATGTAGTTGAACCTGCAACTGCGAAGAATAAATTCCACAATATACATATTAAAGACATTAGACATGACAAATAGACAAGGAAAACATCTTTAATGCATCATCTCAATGATAAATTTACTCGAAACCCTCCCTGTACAATATGTAAATACAGTCAGCATCCAGATCTCCAGAGTCCATGCAACATTAATGAATACATACATAAATGAACACAACTCACTCACACACTGATTATTGATATGATTTTTTAAATATTTATATATATTTTTTTCGCTCTCTTTATTATCTTTTGTGTGCGTGTGTGTGTGAGTGTGTGTTTTGTGGAATATATTTACTCCTGATTTTTAGTCTTTTTGTGCCATAGACCTATTTATGCTAAGCCTGGCTGATGCCTATAAATAATAGATGATGGTTCGAACTAAGAGTGGATACCAGCTGTCTCTGCTCAGAAAAAAAATGAAGATAGTATCACCTTTATTGTAAATATAAGCTATTTTTGAACCTTATTTCTTAAAGCAGCATGCTTTGCATATTAACCCTATTCAGGACATTTGGTTTAGGTGACAGGTATAGTTTATTTATTTTTGAAGATTTTTTTTTTTATATATATATAAAAAGAGGGATATTTGTCATGCATTTGGACCCAATAATACGTCAACTTATCAGAAAATTTATTTAGCATAGTATAAAAGTCTATGATGAATACCAACAAATATTTTGTACATACTATTTCTTGGGGTCCAGTGGACCCTCAAAGGTCTTCTGCAACATGAAAGTCCTGAATAGGGTTAATTGCATGTTCTTTTGTGCATTGGTTTCCTTATTTTTCTTGAATATAACATGTCTGGATACCTTGAATGTCCCCAAGAAGATCAATAAAGTATTTATCTTTGGGTTTTTCTATTTTTCCCCCAAAAATGTCTATTCCTTTATGCATTGGAGGTTAACTGTAAGCCTAATAAATGTCTCAGTGCTGTAGAGGACTACTATGGATGAGATGGTGTTTATAAGACAGTGAAGGAGAGAGTCGGGGGGGTCTCCTCCTGCACACATGATTCCTGGCTACGCCCCTGATCATCATATCAGAGATGTGAGAGGAGCGGATGAGAGCACAAAGAGAGAGAAGGGAAGAGCAAAGACAGAGAAGGAAGGAGGAGGTCTGCCGAAACTCCGCCTCTCTGGTCTCGGATCCTCTCGCATTCCTCCTCCACAGCCCCCTCTCAGGATAGAGAGAGAGAGAGAGAGAGAAAAGGGAAGAAGGAGAAACAGAAGAAGAAGAAGGGCGCACCGAGAAGAAGAAGGAGCAGAATTTAGAGGGGGAGCAGCGAAACGACCATGGCAGTATCCAGAGCGCCTCAGCTTGAGATAGTGTCCGATCCCAGCGCACTTCCAGCCCCGCTGATCACGGCACGGAGCCTGCAGGCGCACAATAGACAGAGTCCGGATGAATGAGGAGCCGTACCTGGGCCGCGGACAAAATGAGGGTCATCTTCATCCAAAACGCCGGTTTCGTCGCAGCTTTCTCGCCTTTTTCGTGATGTTGGCAGCGTTTTCGGCACGACAGATAATGTGAATTAACCACAGCTAAGAGCATGTCAAGTCCATTGAGGAGTGAGGAGATCAGACCGATTTAGTTTTTTTTTTTTTTTTTTTTTTTTTTTTGAAATGGGATGGATCTTATATTATAGCCAATAGCATCTTTGAATGGAAAGTGTGTTCAGCTTCTGGCATGCAGCCTGCTGTCGAAATCTGAACATAGGCGATTATATATATATTTTAATAACCATATTGGCACTAGAATTAATTTTAATCCAGTGATAGGATAGAGGAGTCCAGTTATTATGGTGGATTTTGTAGATCTTCGTTAGTAATGCGTTGGTAGATTGATAATATAGCGATAATAACATGATCAAAGCCAATTGATCAACCGAGACAATCTGGAAATGTTATTTTTTCCACGTGTGATGACATGACTAGCGTTATTCCTTGTAATTTATTTATTTATTATCACTATTATTAGGCCTATAAGTATTATATTATCAATTTTCTTAAGTAGGTAGTTTGAATATATATATTTAACAGTGGGAAGCTTGTTCGGACGCTTCCCTAGTGAGATGGAAACCGCTTATTTATCGCCCCACCGGGGGGTCACCCGTCCCGACGCCCAGAAAGGCCAGAGCGCGGCGGGCAAAGCGGCGGTGGGCGACCTCTCCCCCGCACCTCCGGCTCCGGCTCCACCTCTACCTGCCGGCTGCTGCTCACCCGAGGAGACCCCGGCAAGCAGCGATGGACGGAGGAACTCGGGCGTGAAGAAACACCACCACAAGCACAACCTGAAACACCGCTACGAGCTGCTGGAGACGCTGGGGAGAGGCACCTATGGCAAAGTCAAGAAGGCCATTGAGAGGCACTCCGGCAGAGAGGTGAGCCACCAGCTGGACACATCTGGCACGATGCTCGGAGTGAACACGTGCATACCTTTGTAACGTCATGTTATTCTAATTGGGTTATTTTAGTCAATTATTGGATAAAAGTGGCTTTCCAGTGGGTTTATTCCTACTGCTCTTGGGAAAGACTGTCTCTGCCTATAAATCAACACACAGCAGTGACACAGAAAAAACTACTATTTACAAAGTGCAGTGTATGTCTGGGCTATATGATGCTGAGGGGGCTGAATCCTGGTTGTAACAGTAGTCCCCCACTAAACAGGTACAGCTCTGCTTCTGTAACGCCCTTCACCAGTCACTACAAACAGCACTGGTCCCAAATTAAGTGGTTTGTTGCCCTCAGAGGCTTGTGCATGTCCTTCCCCCGCTGGGAATCCCCCCCATGCTCCAAAAAAGGCCCATGGGGCCAGGGAGCTGCACTGCACACGCCTTGTCCTGTGCGGGGCCTCACGACCGGATGCTGGAGTGCAAATTTGGCTACTGACAGACTGATGTGACCCTGGTAAACATCCTCACAAGCAGCTGAAAGTTCCCCCAGAGATGCTACCAAGGCTGATTCACTTTTTTTGTGTGTGTGTGAACAACTTTATATATGCAACACTGTGCAGAAGTTTAAAGTCTTTTTCAATTCGTATCCATCTCATCAAGCAGGCATATGATCAGGTCTCAGATTCATTCTGCAGCGCATGACAAACTATATATAGACAACCCAAATCTGCAGAGGAGCAGTGGCAAGCTCTTCAAGATGCTTGGAACAACCCACCTGCCAAGTAGCTTGAAAAACTGGTGCTGTTATAAGGGCAAACATTGACTGGATTTAGTTTTTTTTTTGTTGTTTACTTCACTTTGCATGTTGTGAACTGATGAGTAAAACAATTCATCACATTATTTTTAGCATCAGTTTTAGCAGTTGAGAAGTTTGCACAGTTCTGTAAAGTTACTCCTTGTTTGAATCACACCGTATGAGTTTCTTTGGATGGGTCAGTCCGCCACTTTCTGTTTCTGCATTTAAAGTGATTAGCTGTACTCGTCATAGAAAACCCATCATCTGCTGTTATGTCCCCGCAGACCCGTACACTTCTCCAAATTTCCACGTGCGGCAAAATATGACCCCTGTGCCCACTCTGGCAGGGCACGAGGAACTTTCCATGCGCTGGAAATGCCAGGGGGACACTTAACACAGGTCAACAATGTCTCCAAATGTTTCATAGCTCCTGACAAATGAGAGTTCAATACAGTAACCATAAACCCTCTGGTAGAGCTTATTCTCCTTGACCTACTTGTGAACCATCTTACTTTCACTCGCATCACAAAACGGCACTGTGTATGCTTGCAGTTCAGGTCAAAGTGGTTTATTTGATCTCACATTGTTGGCTTTTCTTGACTTTGGTTGAGGGAGTCATAGAATTTGTCACATGGTCTACATTTCTAAGGTTTCTGAAACCATGGAATAGAGCAAACCATGTTGGTAATGAAGTTGAAAAATAAACTACAACCCTGATACCAGAATTCTGCATACACAAATGCATCCTTGTGGGTCAATCCCTCTATTTTCTGCTGAGCACAGCATTCGACTTGCAACAGAAAAGTACAGGAGTAAAGTATAGGACCTTCCATCACTGTGTTTTGTCTGAGACTGTCTTGAGGAAGTCCTTGAAGAAGCAACGTCTCTGCACGTGGAGTACCGGCAGTGCATGACTACCAGCCACCTCATGGGTCACGTGCGTCCGGCACTGCGTTGCTAGAGTTTACTTGACCTCTGACCCAGAGGAAGTCCCTTGTACCCGTGTGGCAGATACAGCAGCGGCGGTGAGACTGTTATGCAATCATGTCGTCTCCCTGCACCTTTTCCTGCCTCACTCCAAGAACACAATGAGAAAAGCAGAGCGAGGTGATAAACTGAGGAAGTTGTGCGACTGTGTGTGTGTGTGCACGTGTGTGGGAAAGAACTGGAGGCACTTGAGGAAGATTGATTAGATGTGGGCGCATTTAGTGTGTCAGCAAAAGCAGAACTGAGCAACTGTCTGTTTCGATCTGGAAAGCCATATCTCATACTGCTTGGCAGCTTAGTTGAAACCCAACATTATATAAAGTGCAATTGATCACAGAGATCATCGTGGAGATATGTGACATATGCACAAGCTCATGACTCCAGAAGATGTGTTCCATGTTTGTATACTCGTGAGAGAGATAGAAGGACACTGTGAGAGTTTTAATGCATTATATGCCATCTAGATGACTGTAGTGAAAAGGTCGTGGTGACAGCCAGGCCTAAAATGGACACTGACACATGAAAGGCCATCCCCAGCAGGAAATGAGATTGGAAGGGAAGGTTAATATCCTGTATGGAAGATCCATCACAGGCAGGAGGGGGTGAGCAGTTACCACAGAGATACAGGGAAGCCCACTACCATAACAAGGGAGGGACAGCCTCAGTTAAAGGGGTTACAGTCATATTAATATGAGCTTAAAGCACCAGATTACATCATTCCCCAACAATGGATTCAATGAGGAGGTACGCAAGAGGGAAAACACTGACATTCCTCTGCTATATGTGGTGCCGCTGATGAGGTATTATGATTCCTGGCTGTGTTTGAGAATATAGTTCTCTGGAAAAGTGACGGGCCTCCTCCTCCTCCTCCTCCTCCCACTCACTCTCTACCTCTCTCCTCTTTGTCTCCCCCCCTCCCACCACCAGCAACTCTGACTCAGACACACAGTCGACACAACAGATGATCATGATCTTTAAACGATGCAGGGACGGACGAGCTTGTGATGAATACTTCATCTATTTTAATGGCCTGAGAAAGCTCAGGAAGATGTCAGGCTCCACTGAAGCGAAACATGGACTTTCACTTCAAACAAGCTCTTTTGAGAACAAGGGTTGGGTCAGAAGGGGGGGGCAGATGAGGCCGCTCCATACCTGGCAGGGGCCAGCATGGGCAGCAGTGCAGCGCCTGTTTACTGTGAGTGACAGTAATAGGGATCCACTTAAGGACAAGCGTAGCTGTGTCAGCCGGCCGGGCCAGCTGGCAAGTGGCTGATCTGCAGTCCTGTTTAATGATCCACATCGGGGTCAGGGCAAGAGAACATGAGGAGATACACAAGAGATACCTGGCTTTGTCTCAAGCCCAATGTGGGAGAGCTGGCTCATTCAGTGAGTTAGCCTACAGTGTAGAATTAAGATAATGACTGTTAAAGATTGATTACAGTCCGTCTAGGAGAGAAAAAGCTTTTTGGTTTTAGGCAGCAGTTTTACAGAGACATTTTACTTGCCTCTGCATGTAACTTTCATAGACCGTTTCTCAATTATTTCCTAAATTACGGAATTCCTGCGTTAAATCCAGAAAGGTGACTCACATTCAGCTTGACTACGAAACACCAGAGTCACTCACATTTTGGGGATCAGTGATAAAATCCTGATGATTCTGATGAGGTAAAGGAAACCATCAGTGTTAAGACACAAACAACTTTTACCAATTAAGAACTCAGCATGTGAACCCCCTGGACCCTGGCTTGTTTATTATGGTTTCATTTCTTTAAATTCTATGTAATCAAGGCGTGCTCTGGATGGGAGCTATTCCGGTTTGGGGTTATTTTTATTGATGTACACGGTAATTAGCTTGGCACTCGCTACTGCCTGTGGTTTCTGCTGCATGGAATAAAGCTGGGTTCCTCCGAGTACTGCAGCTTAGCTAGGAGAGGACAAAAGTTTAAACTAACAGAACTTCGGAGTGAACAGACTCTATATGGACCTGATCAAAGGAAACCCAGGACTCAATCCAGAATGTTTAGGCTACAATTAGAGTGATGTGCTAGACTGTGTACTCTCGATCGGTTTATTTGGAGAAGGTTGCTAACCTCTCATTTATGGAGTGCATAGGTTAGTGGTTTGAGTGCATCCAGTTGCGGCGGTCGCATTGCCATGAGAATGAAAAATCATCAAATCAAGTGCTGTTGTTGACTGTTGAATCTCCTGTAACAGACCCATTTGGCGAGGCGATTACACTGAATCACTTCCTCGACCCCTTCTCATTCTCCCGATTCCTCCATAAAACTCCCAGCAGGCCGGCTTTTCAGGCTGTTTCAATTGTGGGCCATTACCAGTTCTTAATCAGAATGACTAAAAATAAGAGGCTGGTTGGTGATTCGTGTCTTCTCAAGGACTTTTTGACAGGGGAGGAAACATGGCTGTGTAGGTTAATACTGACAGTTTGATTAATGGAGGAGCACTCTGACCTCCCGACCTCCCTTCCTTCCTCCAGAGATTGCGAACACCTTGCTCACCTCTATTTCAGGATGCTCATGGTCCTTATGTGCTCCAGGGATGATGGTGTTCGCCGGCCAGTCAGTTCATCCACCACTTTGGTGCAGACTGACATATATCAACAACATTTAAATAGATTACCATAAAATCCTGCACAGACACTGATGGTGTCCAGAGGGAGAAGCCAACTGACTTTCCTGTATCCTGCGACTTTTTTCCACTCACGGCACCATGAGGTTCACATTTGTGGTTTTTAGAGAAATGCCTCCATAATTGTTGGATTGATTGCCACACAAATTAGCACAGACATCCCTGGTCCCCACTGGATGAACTGCAGTAACTTTAGGGATCTCTAAACTTTTTCTCTCGCACTCACACTTTCAGTTTGTCTGACACTTTTTTATGACTGCATTCCTGAAAAGATAAAGCCATCCAACAGCCCGAGCTGCACTTTGTGCATAGTGCTAGTAAAATGCAAATGTTCGCCTTGTAATGCTAACACACTAAGGTAGCATAGGGAACATGGTGTCTCACATTATACCTCATAATGACATCTATAAGCATGTTAGCATGGTGACGTTAGCATTTAGCACAAAGCTCTACTGTGAGCTGGTGTGGCTGTGCCTGAAATCACTAATGACTAGAGCATTGTACGGAGTGAGCCTATTGAGTGTCAGTGATACATGGAGTAGTGAATTAGTGTACCGGGGGACACACAGATGATTAGTTTTATGTTTTTCCCAACAGCTGTTTCTAGGTAAGTGGTTGCCATGGAAACATCGTGTTTCCCTGTGTGAATCTGCCTTCTGGTGTTTCTATTAGAGAGGAGCTGGCAGCACTTATCATAGCCTGAGCTTTAATGCTGACTAACACTTTGGTTCTTTTTCACCTTCACTTGACTTCATGTAGAGTAAAATACACAGTGCAAAACTGGGATTAGATCTCTGTCTGTTAGACCCTGGCTGGTATGTCAGCAAGCCTTGTTGGGGTCAAAGGTTATCACACAGACCTTGTAGGGCCCCTGAAAGGGGAGGTAAATGAGATTGATTTTTTTTTTTTTTTTTTTACAAAGAGATGAAGCAATGTTTTTACTGAGGCAGACAGGCATCACACAGTGTGCAGAATGTATTGTGCAAGTTTAATGTACATTTTATAGTTCACTGATGAGATAATGCGTGTGACATAAATGCATTGTCTTTTAGTCCCATTTTATGTACACATGTTTATGTAATCTGCCTTTTTGAATAAAGGAACTTGTGTTTTAAACTGTTACACATCGTGCTCTCAAGATGTCTTTTACTTTGAACCCTAAATTCTTCAACTGCAAAGTTTAAGTTTTATGTTGCTGTAAGTCATCTGATCAAAGTGTTTTCTGTCTCCTGTTTCCAGGTGGCTATCAAGTCAATTCGGAAGGAGAAGATCAAGGATGAGCAGGACATGGTACACATCCGCCGAGAGATCGAGATCATGTCATCCCTCCGCCACCCACACATCATCTCTATATATGAAGGTGAGGGTCATGTCTGGAAACACACGCACCCCCGTGACAAATCCTAGACACTCGTTTGACTTGAACACACATAAACAAAAACACACAAGTCCAAAATTCTTCTCTCCCTCAGCTCATTTAGCACTCGTGGCCAAGCTGCAGGACTGTCATGTTATGACATGCAGATGTCATAATAAGTCCTGGACTACAGCTCTGGGATGTTATTCATCTTCTCTGTCTGGCTGCCTGGGCCAGTAAAAGTCTGGATGGTTTTGACGGTGTGCGTCTGGATCTCTCTGAATGTGTGTGCGTGTGTGTGCATGTGTGTGTGTGTGTGTGTGTGTGCTGAAAGTTTGTGTTTATAAGAGGGGTGATATTCTAAGGGATTGCCTCTCCCACATCTAAGAGGTCTCATCCCTTGTCTACTCTGGTCTTGATCTCAGGGCCAGACATCTGCTGATACTTAGAGACAACTGCAGCTGGGAACCAGACTGTACTTGTGCATGTGTGTGTTTGCACATATATAAGTCCGTGTATGTATATATATATAGATAGATAGATATATGTGTGTGTTTGTGTCAATGTATAAGCCTGTGTGCATGGTTGCATGTGTGTGTGTGTAGCGAGGGAGATACTGGATTGACCCCAGTCACCCAGGCTTGCACCCTGTCTGACTCTGGACCAGTGCTATGCAGTGGGAGGAAAGGCCTTAAGCCTTCCTTGGAGCAACGTCAACATATATCTACCTCAGGAAGCAACCCTCTAAATATCAAAGCCCTCAAGTCAAGCTCAGACAGCACGCATATTTATTCTTGAGGACCTCCTTTTTTGATACCTGTCCTTTTGCATGACCTTAACCTCACTGCAAGAAAACGGAGATTAGAATTAATGGTGAGTGTAAAGCTTGAACAATTCCCATTGAATTTTTTTTTCAACATATTGCCAGCAATTAATCATCCCTTATGATGTAGTCTTGGCCTATTTGCAGGCATTTAAAGTCACAAGGCGTTACAGTGTGAGCTGGTTTCATATGATTTGTGACTCGTGACTATTTTTATGCCCATGTCAACAAAGCAACAGTTTCAATGCCCTTTTCAGGATAGCTGCCCTGGCACAATCGCAGCAGGTTGTGTGCCACTGCCCAAACTGGCTTAACCACTGCCCTTTGTTCAGTTTCAAAGTCCCCAGGTCGTTATCAGTAATGTGTATATGCAACAAACATCACTATTGGTCATGGGAACGTGCCAGCAGTCAGCTGGAGGGCTGAAGTGCAGCTGAGTTTAATGTGTTTTGTAAGAGAATGATTAAAAGTACACACAGATTTATAAACTCAGACGAGCCTGTATGGTGTTCCTTTGTGTTCTGCCTTGCTTTATACGCAGCCTGCTCCACCAACAAACTCAACCAGACTCATTGCTCTTGCTCTTTGGTGTTTCTCCTCAAACCCAGCGTTTACTGTTGTGGCCTGGCCCCCGCCCAGCCTTGCTTTAGAGATATATAGGAGGCCCAGAGATTTGTGTATCCGGCAACACCCTCTTCAACAGCCCCTGCTAACTGCCTTGTGTGAAGCAAAGCTGAACCAGATGTGTGCGTGAAGATTGATTTTTACCACTCCCTCACATTCTGCATCCATCAGCATGCTGTGTGGGGCATTTAAAGCGGATTTTGGTCTTTGCTCCTCAGGCATAGCCATGTATCTTAGTGTCCTCCTTTCAGAGCAGCTAGTCAACCCCAAAGAATGCTGTAAATGCACAAATTGATACATCCACATAAAATGTTACTACCATGTTTATGTGTGTTGAGGGCTTTTTTATAGTAAGATGAGGAGACTGAGGCCAGCAGCCGGGTATCTGGTCCATAGTCTGACACATTAACCTCCGCAAAACCAACATAGTGTACAATCTTGTTACCTTCAAACAGGTTTGCTTTTTCACCCGTGCCTCCAGACTTTATGCTAAGCTAAGCTAACTGGCTGCTGACTACAGCTACATATATGCAATACAGCTATGAGAGTGATTTCCATCTTCTCATGTTATTCTTGCAAGAACACAAATAAGTGTGCTTCTGATGATCTTGCTGTTGGGTAAATAAAGTCAATTCAAGCAATAACCGAGAGGTACTTAGCATAGAGACACCTAAATCCAAAAGTTTACATTTATATATTTTCTGCTTCAGTATTACACTTTGTAGTAGAACTCGGCTTCTTGTCCCATGTGCAAGTTTGCAACAGCGGTCTGTCATCAGTGCAAACATTGGGACAATAGGTGCTAATTAGTGAGATGTGAGGGCCTGACCTGTGAACAAAGCCCAGTGAGTGACAGCAAGACTGCAGTGACGGCTGGCATACCCAACAGGCCATAACAAACCCAAGTTATGTAAGCCAGGTAATTACTGCAGCACCAGGGGTCAAAGGTAAATGGGAGTGCAAGCTGAGAATTGGCTCTCCGTGCACAGCCTCACCAAGGATCGCTGCGAATGACACCCCAGGTCAGCACTCTGTCCGCCAATCAGAGGGCCAGATCAGCTCTGCCCTCCAGAGTGCTTGGCTTACGTCCCGTCTGTTACTTCCCAAGCAGCCAGACAGTCACAATAAGGAGGGTTACCATCACTCAGCAACTGTGTGTTTTGGTAGAGGATTATATCTTTAAAAGGACCCTGGGAGGGATGGAGTGAGAGAGGGAAGGGAAGGGAAGGGAGGCCCCTGAGGAAAGTAGTGTGACAGACTATGAAGGTGCTCACTCAAGGGTGCAGAAAGCAGAGGCCCTCACCCCCGGTGACCCTGCTGTGTGGGAAAATCAACACACACAATATGTAGCAACATGGCTGACTGTGTTGTTGTCATCTCCTCAGTGCTTCCATGGTCTTTTCTTTTTTTTGTGTCCTCCTCTCTCCAACTAACCACTGTCATTCCCTTCATGCCAAGGAGTATGAAGTATGTTGCCAAGCTGAAATTATACAGCAGAAGGCTAAAAACTGACACAGAATGATATGTTTGGTGACCTACGTTTGGATAGCAATGACTTACAGTAATACAACTGTAATAGCAATACTTTCAAAAGTCAGCAGATGTGTAACAAAGCAGCATTTTCATTCATGTTGCTGTAGATTTTAAAAGTCAGACTGAAGCTTACTTACCCAACATTGATTTCTATCCTTATCCTGGTTTTGCTTTTTTTCACATAAAGTCAAAAGACACAGTATAATGTCACTGTTGAAATGAGAAAAAATTACATAGACGAAAAGTTGACATGAATATTACTTGGTTTCCGTTATGATTCACATATATAAATACAGCAGTGGCAATTTAATTACACCGTTAAAGAGGGTGCTCTTATCTGTGTTGACTCGTGAATCACTTATGAGTAAAGCATAGCATGGCATAGTCAATTATAAGGCCCACACTCTGTTTGGTGGTGAGGAATATGGGAGTGTGTTGTGAAAAGTGGAGACATGATGTGAAGCTGAAACATTATGTGTCAAGGGTATCATTTCACACTGTAGCAGACTCCCTGTCCGTGAAGCTAACTCTTTGACTTCGCAGTCTGGTTCTCGCTTTTCGATCTGTTTTTGCTGCTCTCCGCTTGCTCCGGTCTCTGAGGAGTGGGCTTGATTGAGTTAACAGCCCCTCCCTGCCATGTTGTGAAGCAGCCAGACACATGAGGTGGGGTTCGGATGATGTAACCCCGGGAGAAGTGTAGAATTGTAACGTGCTCTTCTGGAATTTGGATTCCTGCTCCAAAACTAAAAGGGGGGCAATCTGGTTTACTCTGCTTTTTACATAACAATTTATATTTTTTAACATGATAGCATGAACCTGGAAGCGCTTTAGAATTTGTCCTCCCATCCCCCGTTGCCGTTAATGTAGATAGATTTTTCTGAAATGAGATATTAATGGACTCCAATTATTTCCTTATCTCTTGTCAGTGTTTGAGAACAAGGACAAGATCGTGATCGTGATGGAGTACGCCAGCAAGGGCGAGCTGTATGACTACATCAGCGAGCGTCGGCGCCTGAGTGAGCGAGAGACACGACACTTCTTCAGACAGATAGTCTCTGCTGTGCACCACTGCCATAAGGTGAGAAAACCCATTCCATGGTTTACACAGAAAGAAACGCGCACATTCATTTTCCGGTCACTAAATCTCTCAATGCCTCTTTCGCATACATCCAGACTTTGTTTTCCAGGCTTATTATAACACTAACCATGCGCCTCCACAGTCAGCCATATAGCCAGTTAATCTGCAGGCCCTACACAGTATGCTTTTCTTGGCGCACGGGTCTTTGGGAGTCATCTGTTTCTGAGTGAAGATGGAACACAGGCCAGTTTAATTCAGGCTTATGCTCCGATTACAGCGCTGTGCAACAAACAAGCCCCACATTAATTCTGTGCTCATCGGTTGCCGCACGCACGGCTGTACGTCCCAAGATACCCCCAGAGCTGTTTTCTTCCCCTGGAGATTAATCTGGCCACACCCATGTCAACCCCTGTTCCACACCTCACCGACTCCCATCAAAACCCCAAGGTCCCTGGGCTTATTTGGACGGGCTCCCCTCTTGTCATGCTCTTCTTCTTCCCAGCTGGAGATAGAGATGATGTCATGGTCCTCGGATAGGAGAGTCCCAGACAGCCATGAATGATGAATCATCACCACCAAGCGCAGCCTCCCGCCGGGTGGGGTGGTGTGAGTCACTGACACAAGAAGCGAGCAACCACTTCTCCCTTGTATCCACCAATCACGGTCATGTGAACATCAGCACCATGCCAGACAATAACCAATGGGAGATGCCATGCACAGCAGTGCAAGCAGGCTCGGGGGGGTGACGGGTGAAGTCACTCCTCCACATCTGAGCTGGGTTCCGTCTGTCTGCATACCACATGTTAATGCCGGCATTTTTTTTCTTAAAACCAATGCATTAACAGCATAGTTGTTTTTATCCCGAGATACTGTGAGAACATCATTCATACAGGGTGGTAATTACAGGCTCATGTTTATGTGACACGTGTGAGTCGATTTAAAAGGGAAAATCACAGCAGATGTCAGCATAAAGACTCTTGAGGGGACAAGACCAATTAAAACGTACTAGACCAACAGGCTGCCTTGATTTCCCCAGAGAGCCGCAAGCTATCTTTGTCAGAGTAAATCATCTCTTAATACAATGGACTGTTTATTACTTGGATCCATCTCTCATGAATAATGAATTCACTGATACATCAATCATTTATTTATTTATTTTCTTTTCCTCATTCATTTTCAGAATGGAGTGGTGCACAGGGATCTGAAACTGGAAAATGTGCTACTGGATGAAAACTGTAATATTAAGGTAAGTTTGTCCCTTGATCTTTGATGCGTTACCCCTCAGACTATAATACCTCACCTCAAATGATCTTTTTATGAGGGATTAACCATCACATGGCTTGTGTAAAGTTCACACATACGCCTCTTTCCACAGATTGCTGACTTCGGGCTGTCCAACCTCTACCATAAGGACAAGCTCCTGCAAACCTTCTGTGGCAGCCCGCTCTATGCTTCACCAGAGATCGTCAATGGGAGACCGTACCGTGGCCCAGAGGTGAGGCTCAGTGAACCTAAAACCCCAGCTGTGTGTTTGGCAACTTGAACATTTATTATCTTCCCTTGAAAAGGAATTTGGTATCTTTCACCTTATATAGCTTCCATCGTTTTTAACTCACCAGTGATTATCATCATCATCATATACAATGTGGTGGTTATGCTTTATTTTCAGCCTTTTTAATGGCATTAGTCCCTAGTCAAGGGGAGGTCTCTCTTGTAACTCCACAGTGGGTCAGTGTAGATACTTTCTGCATCCTTCCCCTGTGCACCTCTTCCTACAAGGTTTGGGTCCTTTGAAGTGAGGAACTGGAGGATGGTTTTTGCTCACTTTCCCTTCAGCTTGATGGGATTGGAATGAGCTCCACAGCCTCAAAGAGCACTCGTGGTTAAAGTCAGCATCTAACCAAATAGTTTTGGTGAAAGAAACAGTGAAAATGTCTCCCTAAAACCACTTATCTGGAAAGTCCAGAGTCATTCTGTAGGGTGTTGTCTCGACAACTGCATCAGTTGCATAAAAGAAAGCAACTTAGGGGAAAAAAAAGTTTCATTTTTAGATATTCAAGTCCAACCGTTCAATTTTGCATGATTCACTATAATTTACTCGAGAGTGCTAAAAACTACAGCAGTCTGATTGCGATCGAAATTACAGAACCACGGTTGGGGTGAGGCCACAAATTACAGAAAACACAGGCAACAAAAATAGAACACAACAATAGTGCGTGCCCTGTCTCGCCCTCGGGAATGGGCCAATGGCAACAGAGGAGCGAGACATTCTTGATGTGGGTCCAGAGCCTTAAAGGAAGTACACCAGCTCCTTAACTGGCCCTATCTGATTTCCTCTTCCTAGACTATGTCTCAAAGCTTTAGCTGCAACCATCAGTAGCACATTCCTCAGAGCATCTCGTCTTCCCCGATCTAAAGTCAACGCACACTTGTTCTGTCGCATTATCCCTCTCACTCACACACACAAGCACACACAGACAGGTCATCAGCTTCTCTCCAGCGAGTTGTCAGGAGTTTAGGCTATCACGACTCTGCTATCTCTGCTGGTCTCATTACCCTCTTCCGCTCCCACCACTTCCCCCCATGGCTCTGCACCTCCTCATGCCCCAGACACAAACTCTTATGTAACTGCTTTGAAAGCCACATTGCATTAAGTTAGTGGTCAGAAAGTCCTTGCTTCTGCCTGACGGAGCAGGAGAGAGAGCGGAGGCGATTTATTAGTGTGTAAGCAAGCCATTTCCCACCAGAGTGCAGGCATTTGTCATGATTTCTTTGAAGGATATTCCAGAGCAGTGTCACAAGCTCTTTAACAGAGATATTCTTATGTGGCATTTGCATGAAAAAGCGATTGGGTTGCTTATTAGTGTCAAAGTAAACTGCATCGTTCATGGCTTTACTCTGATGTTAAACAGAGCTGATTCCACAACATTCATTTTAATGGCATGAATCACTAATCAAAACAGGACTTGGATGACTGCATTTACATTGCATAATACACCTCAACTTTTCTGTTTTATGTGCTCGCTGCATGCTGCATACGTACTGTGCATGCCTTATTTGATAGGCAGAGCGTGTTCTGCGTATGACGAAATGAACAAATTTATGACCGGTTCTTTTGTTTTCACCAGGTGGACAGCTGGGCTCTTGGGGTGCTGCTGTATACGCTGGTCTATGGAACTATGCCATTTGATGGGGGAGACCATAAGAACCTCATTCGCCAGATTAGCAATGGCGAGTACAAAGAGCCAACTCAGTCCTCAGGTACTGTAGGAATCTCCTCCTTAGTTTTCATTTCTTTTGATTTGAAGAAAACACGTCTGATCCCAGTGCCCTTTATACAACAGCATCATAAACTACACTTGACCGTTTTAGTTCAGCTGTAACGCATATAAAAACAAGGAGGACTCTTTTCATGTCAGTTCCAGAAAATATGAGAGTCTTTAAGATGTTGGTCTATAAACAGAACTGAATGGAAAATAGATCAGAGTGCTCTGAATGTACACTTTTAGTTGCTCACTGCTATTTTTGTCAGGGCAGACAAACCTGTCATACTACTCACTATATTTTTTTTTTGCAACATATTCATTTTAAATCTATTTAAGTTTTAACTGGTGTCACTACCTCAGTAACATGGTAGAATCTGTAAAAGAAAAATAACATTGTAAATTGGAAAAATAACTTTGTTTTCCTGTCTATTATTATCCAGTTCTGAATGTTACAAGACATTCGGGTGCTTTAGTCATTGCCATGTGTTGACATGTTATTTAACTGTGGATTCATTATTGTGGTTTACAATGAACAATGGAAAAATAATCATTTATAAAATTGAGTTAGGATATAAAAGGACTGCAGTGGTTTTTAAAAGCCTCTAAATTGAATAATTGCAACTTAAGTTAAAAAAATAGAAATGTTAAAAACAATTACATCACTGCATCAGTTATGTCAGTTCCGGCTTCTTTGAATTAAGGCAGCCTCAGATAGTGCTAAATGTGCTAAACTAACTCGTCTTCTCCATTTAAGGCTGTAATAGCATGCGCTGTTGCCACTTTTATGTCAAGTGGTTTGCAGCATGACTCATCTTACAGATGGTTCTGTTTTCTGCTAGATGCCCGTGGACTGATTCGCTGGATGCTGATGGTGAACCCTGAGCGCCGGGCTACAGTCGAGGACATAGCCAACCACTGGTGGGTAAACTGGGGCTGGAAGAACAGTGTGTGTGACTGCGAGACCCAGCGTGAGCATGGAGGCTCGCCCATGCTGGCCCGTTTCATCGACTGGCAGAACCGCACTGAGCCACGTGGTTCTGGAGCCAAAGCTGCAGCCATGCCCCAGCTGCTGCGCCAGAGGCCCAAGAAGTCTAAGAAGGAGAACGTTGAATCAGGACAGACCCACTGCGGAGCCGAGGATAAGCCAGGTCTGAAAAGACCGAAGGGCATCCTGAAAACCAGGGTTACTGAGGAGCAGCAGTCCGCCAATCTGGAAGAGGTGGAGTTGGGTCAGGCAGCGCTGCCTCAGCAAGCTGAAGGGGGAGAGGAGAGCTCAAGTCCAGATCGAGAGGAAGAGGAGCCAACTCTGGGAGGAGGCTCGCCAGCCAAGATGGTGCCCTCTCTGCCCAAGAAAGGCATCTTGAAGAACAACCAACAGCGGGAATCAGGGTACTACTCTTCCCCAGAGCGCAGTGAGTCCTCCGAGCTTTTAGGAGGGGCCAGTATGTCTCTGCTCGCCAGCTCCCCCCCCAAGAGAGTGATGGGGAGAAAGGGCATCTTGAAGCGAAATGGCAAGTATTCCACCTACAGCGGGCCTCCCTCAGCAGCAGCGGTGGCCGGCGTCCTCGGCGAGCCTCCTCCCTCAACCGACTCTGGTCTGTCCCGCAGTCAGAGTCGGCCCTCCAGTATAGTGGGGGAGGACAGCTCCGTCCTGTCCCTGTCGCCCAGCTCCCTCAGCGGGGCTGAGTGGCACCCCTCCACCACCCACCTCCGCCCAAACATCCGGGCTTGTGTCTCGGCCGAAAACCTGCTGCAGCTCGCCAACTTCAAGGGCTTCCAGGCAGCCCAGCCACTCCAGGGACCCAAGTTCAGCCGTGGCCCCAAAATGAAAGGCTCCCCAGGGGACAATGGCAGCTTCTCTTTGCTGGGGGACCTGGAGGACATGACTCAGGTGTACCAGCAAGCCCTGGACATCAGCAGCAACCTCACCTAACAGACGGGTGGCCGAGAGAGAAGAAGCAGAGGGATTTAAACATGACTGCGTGTGTGAATGTGTGTGTACCGATGCGCGTGTGTAGCATTAACGACCGGTGCGTTACCGGGATACACCTTTGGGTGGTTGTGGCTTTTTCAAAAGGGGCTGAAATCTTGATGGAAACGATATGTCTACGCTCGCACACATGCACACACAGATGTACACACTTAGGTGCACTTCTCTGGCGGAAAGAGAAAATTCTGTTAAGGTTGTGTGAATGGGAGAGAGTCGGAGCTGGCACGAGAGAATGCCACCCAGTCTGCTTTCTTGGCCCGCCCATAGACTTTGCTGTGTTCAACATGTTTACATATTCAGCAAGAAGGCAAGTTAGAATCACAAACGCAGCAACCAGAAACTGGTTGGCTCTCTTTGTACACCACCCATTTTGAATATGAGTTTACAAAAGCACCTTAAAACTCACACAGAGCACATGCTTTTGTGATCTTTACTTCCTTTGGAAAGAAAAAAAAAACAAACAAACCAGGGTCTTGTTCCAAAAATAACTAACATTGCTGATTATTTATTAATATTTTGTAGCTTTTAGTTTTAAGTGCAAAACTGGTGGGTGCTGGCTATTACTGGAAGAGTCCAAAGCTCCTTGTCTCCAACTCTTTGTGTGGAACTGACATATATAATTATGTTACTCTGTGATGAGAAACATATATATACTCAACATATATAACTGTGTCTGCGCATGTAAAACACGCAGGCAAGTATACCTTCATAAAAGCGTATGTCCTATATATGTGTATGATACTATGGAATATGTAGGAAGTGCCTTTTTTGATTCATAATGAAAAATTATGTATGTCATTTCCTTAAAGTGGAGGGAAAAGCCAGGCCAACCTGTCACCAGTTGTGCTTATTTTCATGTTGTTTGTGAATGTGGAGAGACCCAGGGCCTTCAGAGCACAGCTGACTAACTTTACTTGTGTTGGGGTTCAACGGTCAATCTGAGGCAGTTCAGATCAAACAGTCTCATCTCCTCCCCCTCCCTGTTCCTCACATAAATACAATCACACACACAGATATACCGGCATCTGCAGGCCAACTCAGAAAAAAAAGACACTCGTCTGTGTTCTTTGTCAGTGTTTAAGCCCATAGTTTGGTTTGTCAGCAGTTTAGGTGGCTTGGCTGAACACAGTTTTGCTGGCAGCACAAGAGGTCTGGAGGGGCTCACCTAGTGGGACATCTAGTGAGGGGAGATGGCGCAGACACCATCTCACAGTCCTGGAATGTGCCTGGCACTCTTAACCTTGGTTGTTTCACATTTTCGAGGCTACCTGATAAAACAGGCTGTTTAGTGAGAGATGCAGGGGGTTGTGTTTTTTTTTTTTTTACCAAAGACATGTTAGGTGTTTTCCATAGTCTGACTAGTTAATATTTTACCCGGAGCTCTTCAAAAGAGCCAAGTAAGGTGGTTTGTTTTAGCTCGCCGATGACACAGCGAATTCCTCAGATGGCGGCTGGAGACGTGTTGGTGCTCGAGATCTCTATCAGCCGCAGACCGACTCAGCACAGGTGGGATCTGCGGTCGGTGCTGAGCCCTCCAGCTGTGTATACTAGTTCATTATGTCAACCAAGCACAATTAGCCAGCTATTGTTTTCATTTGAGCTTAAGAGGGAGGCAGCGCATAGTGATTTATAGCTAGAGGGGGGAAAAGAAAAGTGTGTGAAAGAGAGCGATGCGTGGAGCGGTGCTGAGATTACGGAGGACTTTTCCTGTACAAAACACAGCAAAGGTCAAGGTGTTTGATTTGTTTTTTGAAGGATTTGTAATGTAGACTAGTGAAAGTAAAGAAAGTGAGTAGAAAGAGTAGATGGAAAGTTTTTGTGTTATACCAAAGATGGGATGAGGCTTTGACTTGATTCATGGGAACGAATACATCAGGGACTAATGAGAGTCGTTAGGATTTTTCTTTAACTTGGGAATCCCCATCGGTGAATGAAATCATCCCCATGTTGGCTTTACCTCACATTTGTTTTATTTTTCTTCTGTTATTTTTCTTTTATTTGACATGCTGGAGGGTGTTGATACAGCTTGTCTTGAGGGTCAATGTGCGACTTGTGTCTTCTGTATGGCCTTAGAAAGTGTGTTAGGCTTTTCGACAGCAGCGAAAACTTGGAGAACAATGACTGACATCATCCAGAATATCAAATGATGTGGATGGAAAAGCATGCAGTAGATGACCCCAAGGAGAAAGATCACATGTTGAATGTTTTCAGTGGTCTGCTCGTGTGAAGGAAAGGTCCTGGGTACTGACTCAAATGAAAGACCCACTGCGTATTATATTGCATTTTATTGCCTTTTGTATTGCATTTTATTGTCAACTGGATTTACAGTGAGAAAATTATACTATGTTAGTATTTTGTTTTATTATGCTTCTGTTTTTGATTTTCCAAAATATAAGAAACTTTATATTGCTTTATGTTATGGCAGAAAAAATACTTCCTTCCTTGAAGTATTAGAATTTCTCTCCAAAAACTGACAAATCTGATAGAAATTGGTGTAATCTCATTTCCCATTGTGGGTCAGACAGCCTCCAAATGGCAAAAAAAAAAGAAAACTCTTGAAAATTAAAGTCTTATTTGGCTATATGCAAAGATTTGTACTCATAGCTCAACATCTGACAACAAAGCAATTGTATTTCCACCTCTACCAAAAAGAGAAAAAGAACTAAAGCAATAAAAAGAATCTGGTGATGAAACTTAAACTCTGCCAAACTGGAAATAACTGGTGCATATCTGTTAGTTAGCAGAAAGTCTAATCATAGGAAAACTTGACTGGATATTGTTATGACAATAATAATAAATTAGTATTATTATGTTATTTAAGTATTATTTTCGTTACAGCTCATTACTATTGCTGGCTATTGCCACAATTTTGGTTTTAATGTTTTTGTCTGTGGGTGATCCTGGACTGCCAAGGTTTGTTAAGTTGCGTGCCTTCGGTATCTTTCATGAACTTTTTTTTTTTTTTTTTGATAATGAAAATTATTATCAATGTGTTTTTTATACTTGTATTTATTGATCAAGCCATTTAAAATTGTTGTCAAAGTACTCCGCGCTCATGCTTCGACTGCTTCAGACCGTGTGTTCAATTCGTACCACACACACAAAAAATATGGTGGCCTGTTTAAAATAGAGTGGTATCATCTCATTGCGAAGGCAGCGGTCGAGCGTGTGTCCGTAGGAGTAACAATCAATAAAAGTTCCTGAAATCCTGTAAAATGTCTTAATTCGTCATTCGAGTCAACACAATGCCCCTGTAGTACTGTATCAACTCAAATAAATGGATCTTGAAAGTTATATGTGTTTGTTTTTCTGCTTTGTGTTGCCTTTTTATTCCAGGGCTTTAGCTATTTAATGTTAAATTGTAATTACAACATTCCACTGAGGCAGGAATGGAAAAAATTGAATACAAATAGACATCAATATGTCTAGTAATGAGGGGGATCAGTGTTGATTTATATGATAGCCACACTGCAAATGCTCCATCCCATTGAAACAGACCATATTACTCTCTCACACACACAGCTGCCATTCACTTGATGTATTTGTAGAGTTAAAACCTTGAAGTTTGACTTTCACTGCTCTCCTTAAAATTGGAAGGTCTTCACATTCTAAACTTAGTTATTACTGGTTTCCTCCAGAAGTAGAACTGGATAAACAAGCGCTCCCAGAAGGCAGACTTGGAATGAACTACAAATACTTCACCGAGTTCTTCTTACAGTAGGACACAAGTTAAACTATAATTGGAGAGGTGTCCTAATTTATTTTCCCTATTAAGAATGTGTGACCCAAAAACCTGCACTGATGCATAAAGGAGGTCAGCAGCGGTGTCCTGTTTTAATATTTAACTCCCAAGTTCATCAAACAAGTAGAATTTATGAGGGCAACTGGTTGGGGTCAAGATGCTAAAAGAGTAAAGGTCATCTTGACATAGTTTTAGAGGATTTGTTAAACTCTCATGGCCTGTTTGAAGATGGCACTCTGCCTTTTCAATGCGGGACTACCAACGAGAGCGAGCCAGTTTTGGGTACTGAAATTAGCCAGTGTTTCCACGCAGTCTCAGCTGCTGTAGTTAAAGTTAAATTAACTTGATGGATGTTAAAGTGACACTCCACCCAAAATACAACATTTAAAAGTCATTCCCTGTAGGCCTGAAAGGTGGCTGGTAAATAGCACAGTGGTTCTGGTAAGCTTGAAGTTACAATAAATTCCAATAGTAACCCGTTTTTACCGAGAAAACACAAATCAAAGCACCCATAGGAAGATTTGTAATCACTTCTGCAGAACAATCTATTTTGCCACTGTCACTTCGTATGCGTATCATCCCAACATATCATATTTATGCCAAAATGTGGTTCTTGGCAAAACTTTTAATTCATTCCTCACATACAAGCCTGTCTAGCTCATTAGTGGTCACATACATTGGTTTGCACACATTATAGCGCCCACCTCCTGCTATTCCATTGGTCAAGAGATCTACTGTAGCTGTCTCGACGCTGTTGTTTTGCTTATCAAGGCTGTCAGTGGCATGTCAGCTCGAGCCAGATTCAGATTCTTCAGGCCAGATGGTGATTGGTCAAGTGTATTATATTCTATTCTGAATGTCAGACAAAAATTTATACTTATTATCTGGAAATGCTGCCTTCATTCCAGACATTCGATCACTACACTGAACATTTTTACATGAAGGTTATAGTTTAAATTAAAGTTTTGTGTTTCTTTTTGACCATTACGTAGCTATTCTGGCCTTGTAAAACAGATAACATATCTGAAGATCGCTCCTGGATTAATAAAAACTAAGTACTGTCAGACTGAGCAGCTCTGTAGAGGGAAAAGCAGGCACTAAATATGTGCAAACTAATACTTGTATGAGCTTGAGTCACGTATCTTTAGCCGCATTTTGGCAAATGGAAGCGTCCTCCTGTGTTGCCAACTGTACAGTGGTGGCTGTCAGTTTCAGCAATAGATTCAGTTCATATGAGTTAACACATAGACAAAAACAAGCCAGGATACTTGTGGGATGAGTGTTGTTACTCATTGTCTATCATGATCATGATCCAAAGAAGCCTCTTGCTTCATCTGTAGGATGCCAACTTGGCAACGTGGCATTTTCTTTCCTGTTTCCTTTCTTTTTTACAGATTCTTGACAGTTGACAACCAATCAATAGGACAAATAAAAACCACATGACTGAAGAATTGTGACTGATGCTTTGTCCACCAGCTGGTGACTATTGGAAACCATCGAATCAATCTGAATTCAACTGACCACAAAGTCAACACTACAAATTAGGAAATGGGGGGATGTTAGATCCAAACCTGGAGTCCACTGTTTAGGACATGTATGTTATATGGGTTCGTTGCCCTCAAGCATCACATTGTCCCAACTCCAAGTCTAAAGATAAATGTTCTCATGCTGAGAAGAAAAGCACCTGTGTTGCCCTCATGAACACAGACTCAACTATTCTGGGAGTGAGCTCAGACTGGTTGATCGACACTCAGCCCCAAGGGAGGAAACTGTGACACTGAGCAGGTCCAATTAAAACCTGGGCTGCCAACTATATGAGCAACAACTTCACACCCTAATGAGATAAAACATGCCAAAACCAACACACAGGTACCAGCTCACCCAAATAAAGCTGGAAAATAGAGCAAATATAAAACAAATCCTCGGAGCAGTTGTGTGACAAAAGTGTTGATATTACATCTTCGGTGCATGGTATTGTTTTTCTGGTCCTTGCACACCTGCTGGTCATTACCCAAAAAGCAGACTAAAACAGCATTTTCTGTTCTCTGGAGAAATGCAATTTTTTTGTCATTAGAAAACTGACAGAGTCAAACAAACAGCGGCAGACAACACGAAGCAGAGGACACAGTTCATGTCTGGCTCAGGGAAGAAACACGAGTGTCTGTTTTTAGGACTTTGAGAGTCAATGATTGTCGAGGGAGAACGTTGCTGCTGCTGCTGCTGCTGCTGGGCTAATATGATCCACATTTTTGCAAGGGGGAGTGGGTGGATGGGTGGGAGCTCTGCAAGTCTTTCAGGGTTTTGGTACTGATGAGCAGGGCAGCATCCCCAACTTGTGCTGGCCAGACACAAGCTGCAAGGCCTTGAATGAGGACAACATGAAATACCTTGAGAGTACAGTGCAGAACAGGATTTAGGTTTCCTCAAACACACATCGAAACTGTTATCCTAAGTCCGAAATTGGCCTTTGTAAGCTAGTCTGAGCTACAAAAGCAGCAGTTAAGCCTTCTATTTATAAATCCCACCTACATCAATATTCATTTTTGTCACGCTGACGGTAAACTACAGAAAATTACATCAATCATCGTCTAAAGTCATTATTTCTTTTGGGATGTTTTCTCAAAAGGAGCACGATAATTATCTTTTGGAACCGGCACAGGCCACTTTTTGTTTCAATGCAAATTCCAGCTGTCTAAGTGAAAGGCGATGTAATACAGCAAGGACAAACAATAATACGGCAATTATGCAAGAATTTGAATGCTTACAGTAATTTATTATCAGTCATATACAAAGGCCAAAACAGACCGTGGTATGTGGATTAAAACAAAAAAAAAAAACTTCTTTTGAAACCTCAGCGGCTGCACCCCTGATACTGATATGATCTGAGTTTCAAAGGGATTTTTTTTTTATGTCCTCCGAACAATTTCTGGTTCACTTTTTGACCCTTAAATAAAGTCCAGCTGCTAGACCCTCTGAACTGTTCCCTCCTTTACCCTCCTCCCTCCATCTCCAGAAGGTGAGCCTGTTTGCCCCTGGAGGTGGAGGGTGAGGGTTTATTGGGGGAGACGGCATACCCAACTGCACACTCCAAACCACCCCAGACCCCATCCGGTCCTTTAGCGTGACCCTGACTCTATGCCCCGCAGATATGGAAGTCTGCATAATGTTGGAGGATATAAGCTATTCTCTGCTTTTAGCTTGAAGCACCCGACTTTAAAAGAGGCCTCTCCCTCCGCAGCCCCCTCGAGCTGCAACGGATAAAAGCCGTCACACGCAGAGGGATTTGGGACATGAAAGCAGAAGAATTTACATGCACTCCAAATCAGTTTACAACTCCTTTTGTCTCCAGAAGAAGAAAAAAAAATGGCTTCATATGAAGAAAGTAGGGGGATATTCTGCAAATTGAGCAAAAAGCAGCGAGGATTTGGCAGCGTCGGTGCTGCCTTGGCGCATCTGACTGCTGTTGCAGGCAGGATGTTCCACAGTGAAGGTTTAGGGTGGCTGTTGTAAACTGAGCTGCCCGTTCATTGCAGGAAAAATAAACAGAGGGCCGGGCCTGAAGAAAGTCCTGAGTACAGTGGAGCATGTGTTCCCTCGGTTAGCTGACACATTGTTTTAGAAATAACAGTCTGAGAGGCCGCTTTCCATGCTTTATCACGGTCACATACACACAAATGCCCGCGCGCACTCACACATGCACACTTTTATAAGTCCGCTTTCATTCTTTCTCACTCTTTCGGAAAGCGCTCACACAGGTTCCTAACTCACATCCCTGCAGGACTCCTTTTCCTCTGCGCCGCTGTGATAACATTGTGACTGGATATGGAATGGAATAAACCACCCTCCTTTCCTGTTCAGCTTCCACTCCTCTATCACTCATCCTCCATCCAGCAGCCCCCTCCACACACCCAGCTCTCCATCCCTCTCTCCTGTCCAGATGACTATTTTTAGCGGCAGCACTGCTATTCTGGAATTTGTTGCTGACTGGCTGCTGCTTGGTGTCTGGGCGGCGATCTCTTCAGGAATGTCTGGCCCACTCTCAAACCACTCCAGAGTCCCAGCGCAGGGCGGATGGCTCAGAGCTCTGATTACAACTTTAAACCCGCTGTAGCTGGAGCTCATTCTTCCTCCAGCAGAAACACAAAGCTGGAGCAAGAAGAGAAATTGTCTGGGCCCTTTACCGCTGAAGTGCTTTTATGTGACTGACCTTTGTGTTTTCTATACATGAGCTTTTCTGTTTTGGAGAAAAAGCAACCGGTTCAAACAGTGCTATTGTGGGGATTCGTCTCACAGAGCACTGGTGACAGCAAGATAAACTTTTAGGGTTAAGGTTAGTCTGACTCATTGGATGTAAATTGTGGGTATTAACCAACTATTGGCAGCACATTTTGCACAGCTTTCCAACTACCATAAAAATTTCAAGTTTTACCAAAGGTTTGGATCTTGCAATGAAGCATCTCTAGACCCACCCAAGATGACTGTGATTGGTTTAAAGAAATAGAGACCCAGTAGTTTTCTTTCTTTTTCCCCCTATGATGCTGTGTTCACATCA